TGCTGGGTGAGCATCCGTTCATGCATCGATAGGCCAACTTTGGTAGGGAATGATGAGGAGCAGGCTTCGCACGTATAACCAGTTTCTGCGGGACGACCTAGTGGTCGGCATGATCGAAGATGGTTCGAAATTCCCGATGTGGTCGTGCTCTTTCTGTCACAGTGCGGACATTCCCAGTACGTTGTACTTCTGGGTGCGTCTCTGTTACGTGCGTTTTAGCGTCTTTCGCGCTTAGGAAGGACTGCATAACCCTCCCTGCGCGAGCGCATAGCGAGCAATTTACCTCTCCGCAGGGTGCTTAAATGTGATAGTAGTTAGTGCGGCCTCGCATGGGTCTCCGGAGCCCGAGTCGGTGGGAGACTCAGAGTTTCCAGGAGAACTGCGTTCCGGCCCCTCGGTGGTCTGCCTGACTGTCTCAACTCCACTAGCAATTGTACGTGAAGTCGAGCACTGATAGCGAGAATCTGAACCCACTTCGAGAGCTTCACCAATCATTGTTGAATCGTCTCCAAATACGTTTCGAGCTTCGTCGCTTTCTGCACTCCAACTCGCTCGTACGCGCTGCTGCCACCACCAATCCGAACGGCAGTTTTTGGTCAGGTGGTAATCCCGTACAGCGCTTATCCATTGCATATTTCGTTTTCCCGAGACAATCATCCACTCACAGGGTCGGGACGCCCGCCGAGGCTTTCAGGTCGCGCTCTACTGACCTGCCCTTTGAGGACCTTTGACATGGGTGCGCTGGTGTGGTGTGTTCTAGTCCTCAGCGTCTTATGATATAGCAAGTAGCTACCGACGTGCGGGTAGTACCAGCGCCACCCAGCTATTCAAATCTTGTCCTAATCGCGATCCTTAGGGGATGCGATATCGTCGGACGGCGGATACAGACCGGTAAGGTGTATTCCGCTCGTTCAAATTTTGGTAAAGTTACCGGTCTTCTGGTAGCGAACCCTTTATAGAGCAACCGCACTTGCCCATATTGGTCGGTCCGGTTCGCTTGCAGACACTGTTTCCCAGATCTTACCGACCAAGAGTCTGGTGGTCCGCGGTCTAGTGAGCTGTCGAGGCATCCTCCTTCCAGGTTTATTACCTGGATGTATAGGATTCAACCTGCAGCAGACCTGTGCGGGTTGTTGTTCAATTCAAGGCCCCCCCTATACTGAGTGTTCTTAGTATTTAAGGGAAGCCTTCTTCCTTGTCTGAAATTTTTGCAGCCAAAAAGGCCCCTGGACACTACTAGAGTGACCAAGAGGTCCATATTTTGGTGTTATTTCCGACAAGTGTGGTTTGCCTTCTTTATCTTGTGGGATCCTCTAGGAGAGGTAAACCAATAAGGCCGGTATTCTTAGGGACCCAGTCGACTCAACTTGTTCTTTGTCCTCTCCTAGGCGGAGGTGACGAACACGTTTTGTCGTTTTAATCCGGTTTACCCTTGATACCTGGACCCTCTATGGTTGTTTGGTATTGTGCTTTACATCCATATTTGTTTGAAGCCTTTTAGCTGGTCAAACGAGTTCGTTTGTTCTTAGACGATACATCGCTTGTTGGTATCTCACCGACGATTTACCGTAGCAAGTTGGATACGAGTCAATCAGAGCCGACACTGATATCTCGCCCTGCTCGATAAATCTCCCCATGTTAGCAACTTTGGTTTTCTCTAGCTAATGACCAGAGCATACTCAAAGAGGCTTCTGAGGATCTGGCCTTTGCCCGCAAGGATCCCATTCGCATCTCTCTTGCTCTGATCGAAAAACGATAGTTCTACGTTTCGGTTATAAGACAACAACTGTGTCGTCGTCGTCGTATTCTCACTCGGAATGAGGAGAGATGTCGCAATGTGAAAAAATATTACGAAGAGCGAGCTGAAGATCGTCTTTCGTATATTATACACGTTCGATCGCATTTGGACCGCTTAACGGCTGTGCGCTAGCTAAATCCGCGATCTCGCTGTGGAAGAGAGAGTCATAGTTACTCCCGCCGTTTACCCGCGCTTGCTTGAATTTCTTCACGTTGACATTCAGAGCACTGGGCAGAAATCACATTGAGTCAACACCCGCAGGGGCCATCTCAATGCTTTGTTTTAATTAGACAGTCGGATTCCCCCGGTCCGTGCCAGTTCTGAGCTGACCGTTGAATGGCGGCCGAAGAGGACACCAGAACGCCCTTGCGAGCGCACTCTGGGCCTCGCAGCAAGACGGTTCCGCGGGAGGCCAAGGCACGGTACCGAGTTCGGATCCGCAATCCTACCGCACACGCGCGAACGCATACGACAGAACGTTTCACCTCGCCCAGGCCCGGCACGTCAGCCGCGACCCGCTTCCTCGCCAAGCCCGACACGCCCCGATCCTCAGAGCCAATCCTTATCCCGAAGTTACGGATCCAATTTGCCGACTTCCCTTACCTACATTATTCTATCGACTAGAGGCTCTTCACCTTGGAGACCTGCTGCGGATATGGGTACGAACCGGCGCGACACCTCCACGTGGCCCTCTCCCGAATTTTCAAGGTCCGAGGGGAAGACCAGGACACCGCTGCAACTGCGGTGCTCTTCGCATTCCAAACCATATCTCCCTGCTAGAGGATTCCATGGAACTCGAATGCTTATGCAGAAAAGAAAACTCTTCCCTGGTCTCCCGACGGCGTCTTCGGGTCTTTTTGGGTTACCCCGACGAACTCTCTTGCGAGGGCCCGACTATTGTACGGTTCCGCTGCCGGGTTTCGGAATAGGAACCGAATTCCCTTTCGCCCGACGGGCGTGTTCTTTATATATACACACATACATACATATATTTATAAAACAACGCCACATCAACATCGGCTTTCGCCTAGGGCTTAGGATCGACTGACTCGTGTGCAACGGCTGTTCACACGAAACCCTTCTCCACGTCAGTCCTCCAGGGCCTCGCTGGAGTATTTGCTACTACCACCAAGATCTGCACCGACGGCGGCTCCAGACGGCCTCACGGCCAGCCCTTCTGCGCGCACCGCCGCGACCCTCCTACTCGTCAGAGCTTCATGGCCGATCCGTTTTTACGCGGATCGAGACCGCACATGCCGCTGACGGCCGAGTATAAGCACGACGCTTCAGCGCCATCCATTTTCAGGGCTAGTAACTTCGGCAGGTGAGTTGTTACACACTCCTTGGCGGATTCCGACTTCCATGGCCACCGTCCTGCTGTCTTAAGTTACCAACGCCTTTCATGGTATCCCATAAGCGTCGATTTAGGCGCTTTAACTCGACGTTTGGTTCATCCCACAGCGCCAGTTCTGCTTACCAAAAATGGCCCACTTGGCACTCTGATTCGATTCTCGCAGCTTCATTAGTTCGAGCAAGCCGGAGATCTCACCCATTTAAAGTTTGAGAATAGGTTGAGGTCGTTTCGACCCCAATGCCTCTAATCATTCGCTTTACCGGATGAAACTCGTCACAGACGAGCGCCAGCTATCCTGAGGGAAACTTCGGAGGGAACCAGCTACTAGATGGTTCGATTAGTCTTTCGCCCCTATACCCAGTTCCGACGATCGATTTGCACGTCAGAATCGCTACGGACCTCCATCAGGGTTTCCCCTGACTTCGTCCTGACCAGGCATAGTTCACCATCTTTCGGGTCCCAGCGTGTACGCTCTTGGTGCGCCTCTTCTCGTAATGAGAACGAGACGCCCCGGGAGTGCGGAGCGGCCGCTTTATAGACGTGCCGCCCATCTTCCCTAAATCCGCGCTAGGCGGATCTTTACTTTCATTGCGCCTTTAGGTTTAGTTATGTCCCAATGACTCGCGCACATGCTAGACTCCTTGGTCCGTGTTTCAAGACGGGTCCTGAAATTACCCAAAGCTATAGCGTCGCAGATCGGCGTTTCAAACGAGGTCTGTCCGAGAAATCCGCACGACCAACAGTCGTCCGGGGACGGAACCGGGCGCTAGGTCCGATCGCCGTCTTAGCATCGAACGTGCTTGTCGTGGGTCGGACGCTAATTGAAGAAGTAGCGGCCTCGCGCCATCTGTATACCGTCGAGCGAGTCGGCCGGAACATCGCGGGTTCGAGCACGAATCGCCGAAACGATCGTACACGGACTCCACCGCGAGCCGTAGACCGACACCCAACGGATCGCGACGTCCTACTAGGGGAAAAGTGCACGCGTTCGACGCCGGATCGAAAAGCGAAAGGCGCGGACGACGCGCGAACGCCGTCCGTCGCGCGACCGCTCATCGCCGACGGCCGAAACGCGAATGAATTTCCCCTTTCGACCTTTCGGGTTTCTCAGGTTTACCCCTGAACGGTTTCACGTACTCTTGAACTCTCTCTTCAAAGTGCTTTTCAACTTTCCCTCACGGTACTTGTTCGCTATCGGTCTCGTGGTCATATTTAGCCTTAGATGGAGTTTACCACCCACTTAGGGCTGCACTCTCAAGCAACCCGACTCTGAGGAGAGATCCTCCCGCGATCGGCAGCGGCCACTACGGGCCTGGCACCCTCTATGGGCTGTGGCCCCGTTCAAGAAGGACTTGGACTCGCCGCGCGACCTCGGGATAAACGGATCCTCCCTAACACCACATTTCCCGGCGCCCGATATCGACCGCGGGATTCGGTGCTGGGCTTTTCCCTGTTCGCTCGCAGCTACTGAGGGAATCCTAGTTAGTTTCTTTTCCTCCGCTTAGTAATATGCTTAAATTCAGCGGGTAGTCTCACCTGCTCTGAGGTCGGTTAACAATATACAACACAACACCACACACAGATATATATGTCACACGCGATCGCTAATACTAAATCGTATAGCTGCTGCTGCTATACTACTAGTCGAAAGCGTTCTCTAGTGTTTAGCGCGTATATGCGATCAGACGTCGTTATCTCGAAAAAAATAATTTCTCTCTCGGACACGACGATCGCAGCGCAAGTTCGAAACGCGTAACGACTACAGCATATATACATATATATATATATATATATATATGTAGTGCTATTACGATTTTTATCCGTACAGCGCGCGTGTTCGTTCTATGTGTGAGTTTACGATTCGTTCGTATGACGAACGAATCGTCGCTTTCGCGTTTTGAGATGCCGCGACGACGACAAAGACGACGACGTTTACGATATTACATAAATAAATATATAATAACTAGCGTCGTCGCGTCGTACCGCCGCGTCTACATCCAACACGCTCCGACGTTTCATTCTCCTCTCTCATGTCGTCGTCGTCGTCGTCGTCGTCTCTCGGATAAAGAGATAATACGACGACGCGAACAGAGATCGGAGAGGAAACCGAGCAGTCTTTTAAATTGATACGACCCTCAGCCAGGAGTGGTCCGGGAACAGTATCCGAGGACCGCAATGTGCGTTCGAAATGTCGATGTTCATGTGTCCTGCAGTTCACAAGTTGACGCGCAATTAGCTGCGTTCTTCATCGACCCACGAGCCAAGTGATTCACCGTTCAGGGTAATCGTTTTTTAATTAGACGATCTCTATATATATAAAATATATCGATACGTCTTTATTGTTATGATAATGGCTAATGTTATTAAAGAAAATATATAAAAAAAGAAAGCGCGCATTTCTCACGGAGACTTCGTGTATTTTGCGCGGCAAACGCGCAAAATTATTTTTGCGCGTTTATAACAAACGAGCGTGCCGACGAAGTCTCTCGTGTACGCGCGCATTCT